AAAAAAAAAAAAGAAATCGGTTGATTTAGTTATTTTGCTCATTGTTGCATTGTTCCAACGGAAGGGTGTCACTAAGCCCCCACTCATTTTGGAAATTGGTTTTGTTTCCTTTTAATTATTATTATGTTTTGATATCTTACAAGGCAACTTTGTTATTTTTTCTAAAATTTCTTAACTATTCCCACTTGGTGGCTAATTTTTCAGCTAATGTTAAAACCATTTGCCAGGAAAGATTCCAATGGGAATCAGAGGCTTTGTTTGCAAGCAGACCACGGTGGTGCACCCAGGTCCCTCCCCTCCGACTCTATGTTCGGGTAGATTCCAGATTCCCTTGAAGGTGCCCTGGGCACTCCAGAATCTCCTTGTGACTGTGAACTGGGATCAATGTGCCATGTTATTATTCCTTTTTTTTTTTTTTTTTAATAGAAAGAACAACCTTCTGGGCCATTTAGTTTGTCCTTCAACATTCTGAAGTCAGATAAGCTCAAGGCCAGAAATATCCTTTGATCTGTTCTCAAATRTTTTCAGGCATAAAAGAACAATTCCTTACCTGTCACTGAGGCAGAGTCCAGAGGTTTGCTTTCTCTAAGGGAGGGATTTGCTGGTTGGGGTAAACGTAGGGCCTCCTCAGCCTCCCGCACCTGGATGCCTGGCCAGCCATCCCACACCCAGCTGGGCTCTGGCTCTGTAGCACATGCTTCTCCAYGAAGGTGCTTCCGTTTGCTAGCACAGGGCCGCTGCCCTGCGAGGCTGCCTCTGTGTGCTGAAGCCTGGGGGTGGGGGACAGGTGCTGTGATGCCCGTCTCCCCCACCTGTGACCCTGCTATGCAGCTTCAGCTTCCCTGTGACCAAAATATCCACAAGAACATCTGAGAGAAGGTTCACTTGGGGCTCAGGTTTCAGGTCTCAGTCCACAGATGGATGGATGGATGGCAGGTGAGACAGGGGGAAGGGATTGCTCACAAACGGTGGGGTCGGGGAGCAGGGAGTCAGGGTAGGGTGTGCAGGGAGGGCGCACCTTCCAGGGAAGCCCCATGAGCCAACCCTCCAGCCCAGGTGCCACCTGCCCACTGCCACCCCCAGGGCATCCACCCCAGGATGAGCCCCTTCATTTTACCCTGGGGCATTCCTGCTGTAACAAGGTTTCGGGGGTCACCTCATATCCCAGCCGTAACAATGACACATATCTGTCCTCTCTCCCCCTGTATCCTGACACAAAGGTCCTAGAACCCTTTTATCTCCGGGGTGGCAGGGGTGCTAGCTATCTATGCCCTTTGTCCTAAGATCTGGCCTTTGGCGGCTCCGCATGGACAGCTCGTACTCTCTGGGGTGTTCTCAGGTGCCCTGGCTGGGCTCCTAGACTCAGGCTGATCCTTGGAGCTCTCAGCCCATTCCCAMCCCTCCAGCAGGGGCAAGGAGCTGGAGACACATGGTGCCTAGTGACAGAGCTGCTTAAGACTGCCAACTGTGGGTTCTGTGGGGCTTCCAGATTGGTGGGAGAGGAGAGGGTGGTGCCCACCTCCACCTTCCCTGCAAATCACAGTCTGCACATGGTGGTCCCGGGTTCTGAGAGCCTGTTGAGCAACTTACCAGGCCCAGGAGGGGAGCTGAGGGGACCCCCACTTGCAGCCTCAGTGACTCAGGGATCCACTAACCAACTGCTGTCGGGACCAAGCCCCTAACCCGGGGGCTGTGTGCTACCTCTAGTCAGTGTCACAACTGAGCCAACCCCAGGTCACAGCCATGCCGTCGCTCATTGGGGAAAGCCCCCACACATCTAGCCTCAGAAGTGAAGCAAACAGTGGAAGAACGAGAGAGTGAAGCAGACAGTGGGAGAGAGGGAGAGAGAGAGAGAGAGAGAGAGAGAGAGAGAGAGAGAGAGAGAGTTGGTTCTCCCATATTCACCGTCCCACGTCACAAGGGAGAGGTGTTTGACTCTTGCCACTTAGAAATAAACACGGTACCGTTTTTCAACTAAGCAGGCAGGAAGGTTGCGTCACCTATGAATCTAACTTCAGCCCAGAGCAGAGGGCCTCACAGAACAGCTGCCGCATGAGGAGGTGGGTCTGACAGGGCTCAGAACCCAGAGGACCAGAAGGACCTTACACTGGGCACATGAGAGTATTCGTGCTCTAAGTCTTCAGAAAAGATCATTTCATTTATTTTTAGATAAAAGAATTTTAAAATAACTTTTGACAACTTGAAAAAAAAATATTGAGTGCGTTGTTTTCCAYTAGAGAAAGCCTGAGCCTTCAAGAACAGACTGTGTGACTCAGCGAGGGCCACAGAGTACAGGAGGGACCCCAGGGGCAAGAGGAGGCCCAGGCAGCGGCCTTGCCAAGCAGGAGCCCAGGGCGCAGGGGAGGCAGATGGCCCAGGGTCCTTGGGAGGCACCCCTCTGGCAAGAGGACGCCTCTGCTCTGTGTGGCCGTGTACTGTGTCCCATGGTGACGGTGGGACTGGGGTCCAGAAGAGCTTCCTAAAGCTCCAGTGGTGCATAGTGATGTAATCAATGCAATACTTAGAGATCTGCAAACTGACAGCTGGCAGGCTTCGCAGGCTGTGAGAAGGGCTGGAGCCAATCTCTGTAACCAGGGGCCACCGCACAAGAAGCCCAAGGCCCAAGGTGGGGCCAGTGTCCACGCTGCACAAGGCTCCCATGAGTGACACTCCAGACATCTCGCAAAGACTGATTCAAAACCACTAGTTAAATCCTAGTCATGGCTCTTCCCTGCCCTCCTCCCCAAACAACCTCCTCTCAGAAATACAGCGGGGAGGGACAGAGTCCAGGCAAGAAGTGAGGAGCTGCTCCAASGCACCAAGTGTGTGGCCGTCTCCAGCCCCACAGGACAGCCATGGGGGAGACGAGATCTGCAGGGTCGAGGACCTGGGGGCTGCCTCRCTTCTGTCCTCCCGCATCCTGAATTCAGATAAGCTCAACATCCAGAAACGTCCTTGGATTTGTTCTTTCTCTGATGTCTTGTGTCCTTGGGATCAAAGCCTCTTTCCCTGGCACCGAATAAAGCCCAGGGAGGGGTTTTGGCCATGTAGTCCTCTGCACTGAAGGACTTTGACCCACCGCTATCTTCGTACTCCTGGACGAGCTCCTGGAAGCGRCTGTAGTCGATCCACGTCCACCATTCTCCCTCGATCTTAAACTGGAAAGAAATCAGCCTCAAGTCAGAAGGGGAACCATCCACAGGGAAGGCACTAATGCACCTGGTTTTTCTCCCTGTCAGGTCAACACTTCCACATTCCACACCTGGTTTCCTGCAGCATGGGCAGGCGCTTCCCCTGGGCACTGCATCCTGCAGCATGGGCAGGTGCTTCCCCTGGGCACTGCAACCTGCGGGCCGAGGACCAGCTGTGGGATGGGAGATGTCCTGGCCCGGGTGGGGCTGTGGGAGCAGTCTTGCTGACGGGCATCAAATTGCCCAGTGCTGCCAGCGCTCAGGGCCCAGCTACCCCGGTCCTGCGGCCACCTTCTGTCTGGCTGGATTTTTGTGGCTATTAGCTTCATCTGGCAGAAGCCTTTTTATTACCAAACTCCGCTTGAGTTATTAGCAAAGCCCTAATCAATGCCTTCCAACTCTGAAATGCTAAATGACTCCAACCAGCCTTTCCAGTCCAACGTGCATACAATACCTCATTAGCAGAAAGCCAATTCAATAAAGAGGAATAATCCAATTTGTACTCTTAAGGAAACTGCTTCTCAAAAGTCAATGTGGAATGAAGGCAAAGCTGAGGCAGCTCTCGGGGAAACCAGCTGAGCTGTGAGGGCTCTCCCCCAAGCGCCTGCCTGGCAGCACCGTGGAGAGTGTACCCGCTGTGCTGAAACCCACCATCGACAGTTAACTGTCTCAGAAATGAAAACAGAGCCTGATTAACTCCATGAACCAAGTCAAGCAAGAGCTTCCTGGTCCAGCTGAAAAGGAATTATTGAAAATAAGCAGGCTCCTGGGTTTGGAATTTACTGTGGCATCTAATTTCTTACCCAATAGCTCTGAGAAATCTCCTTGAAAGACCATTCTTTGAAATAGTGCCCCCAGGGCTCTCTGCCTTCATCTCTCCCACACTGGAGGCCCTGACTGTTCTCCACCCACTACTGTGGAAGGAGCTGACCCTTTCCCCTGGTGCTCACACCCACGCCCCACCATCTTCTTGAGCAGCTCTGCCACCAGGGGCCCACATCACCTCATGAGGCCACCATCTTCCACTGACTGAGCCAATTCCAGCTGTGGCCTCCCCCAGCTGCTGCTGTCTGCCCGAGTCTCGGCCCAGGGTGGTAGAGATGGCCACCCATTTGAACACAGGCACCCGCGGACTCCAGAGAGCAGGCCCCACCTCCCAGGCTCCCATGCTGCCTGTCTGGTTTGCACCAGCTTGCACGTCAGGTCTCTGTCCTTTCTCTGGGAAGCGCCACACCCCCATCCCTTTAGCCCAGGACAGCTCCTGTGCCACAGGTCCCTGCTCCTGAGCTGCCCAACGGTAGCACCTCACAGCCCGTCTGCAGTGACCTCCCGCACTGCCCACCAGCCAAGATTAGGCCGAGCGGAGGCCCTGACCCACCCTGTAGCCATCACTCAGGACACTGAGGCCAGCCCCATCCTCCTGACCTCTAAGTGAAGCTAGAAGACCAGGGTGGAAAAACCCCACCTGCTCACTGACGTCCTGGGAGACAGGACGGGACTCTGCTGCTACGGACTACACAATACAGAAAGGACCATCTCAGTGTGTCCATGCAGAAGGCCCCCGCACTCCTGTGGAGACAGGGCTCCCTGACCAGCACAGGAGGAGACGCATCAGCGTACCTCAGCAGTGAGGCCCCCAAGGCTGCCCTTCACCACTCCCTCCCCTCCACGCCTGTGCACCTGGCCCAGGCCCTTTACAGGTGACCACAAAGCACCTGGCATGTGCCCTGGGCAGAAGAGGGAAACAACGATCACCCAGAATGTGGCCCCACGGGGGGCCTCTGGGGCTCCCAGCTGTGTCTGTGAGAACAGGCTACACAGCCCTCCTTGCTGTTCCTGTCCCTCTGGGGTCCAGCTCCAGGTCTAGAGTCTGGCCCCTCAGCCTTCATGACCCCAGGCCTCCTCCTCCTCAGACTCATCAGTGATCACTGGCCACAGACAGCCTGAGGACTAAAGGGTCTGTCTGGACTAGAGCAATAGACCTGACTCTCCTTTTTATACCAGCCTACGGTAAAAAAACATATTTTATAGTTCAATCTAGGAGGTACACGCGTGTGTGCACACACAGACACATGCAAACACATACACAGACACAGAGATAGACACACAGACACACATAGACACAGACACACACACACACACACGCACAGACATACACACACAGACATACACATGCAGACACATACACACACAGACACATTGAGACACACACACACACGCAGGCAAAACCCATAAACTATTCTACATGTATCACAAAACTGCTGGCTGCACCTCAGGAGACTGGCGGACTCCGGGTGCTGGGAGAAGTCCAGCCCTGGGGGAAACCGTTCTTACTGGTTCTGGGCCTCCAGCTGGTTCGGAATGCAGAAACCAGGGACACAGACCTGGCAACTGGAAGCTGACGCCTGGCATGTGCCAGTGAGAACRCAAACCACAAGGCCCTGAGGCTCTGGCTGCCGCGGCCTGGCCAGGAGGACCATCTACAGGGTGGGCCTTCCCAGCCTGCAGTGGCTGCCTTCTGGCTGTGTCCMGCACAGCCTCTCCTCGGTTTGGGCTCGGAGAGGGTCTCAAGGACGCGGGTCCACCAGACCAGGCCCACTCCCAGGTCCCATCCAGCCCCGTTTCCATGCAGCCTCACGAGGGGTCAGGGATGGGGGTGGCACAAATAGTCCATAATAGGTTGATCTGAAATGAACCCSGAGTCATCAGACCCCAAAGACCTCTCATGACAATTTGAGGACAGAAGTACTGTTCGTGTAAAAGGTCAAGTTAAGTATGACTGACGCAGACACTGCTAATGACAGCGGCGTAAACAGGGACATTAAATCCAAATCAAAACTGGAGGCTAAGTGTCCTGAGACATGAGGTCATCCCGCCTCAAGAACTCTTCTAATCCAACGCACGGGAGATGGTCTATGCAGAGTTACAAACTCAGAAGGTCACRGATGGTCACGGATGGTCTCGAGGCATGGGGCAAGGCAGTGAGGCCCTGACTGATGGAGCCAGGCTGTGCAGGGCAGTGCGCCCTGGCCCTGCCTCCCTAGAGCCATCACGCTGCTGACCGAGGGCCCAWGCTCACTGCTTCCTCTCCTTCCCACACAGCAGGGACAGCACAGGGTCTCTGACACCAGAGTGTTTAAAAGATTATGTTCACTGTGGTCCCACGGGAAACCCCACTAAGTGATGGAAAGGTTCACCATGGAGCCCGGTGGCAGCGGAGGAGACCCWGTAGGACCCAGGCTGGGCACCACAGGGAGGACGGGGCCCCCAGTCCTCCCACTGMACTGACCTGCGTGCAGCAGAGCACCGTCCAGCCCACAGAAGCGGGCCCTCCACAGGGTGGAGGAGGGTGACGTCTGCAGACACCCAGGATCTCACCTGTCGTACACTCAGTAGTTCCCGGGAGGACGTTTCCCATGAAGTRGGGACAAGTCAAACAAAAACACAGGACCCTGGAAACCAGAGAGCTCTCATGGGGAGAAACCAAGGAGACCTGGACAGAGAGGGACCTGCCCAACACAGGGGGACCAGAAAGTGTCCCTGGAAAGACAGCTCCGAGAGAGGGACCTCATGGGAAACCCAAGATGCTGAGAGTCCAGTGCAGACTGCCCTGGCAGAGAGCCTGAGGGCTGAATCCGCTAGAGAATGCAGAAACCTAGACATCATCCTYGTCACCATCTTCATCATCATCACCATCACATACCGATTAGCTCCAAGGAAACTGAAGGTGTCATGGTCTGGATCTGAGGGTGTTCCTCAAACCTCCGGTCACTGCAGGGACGTTCAGAGGTGAAATGACCAGATGTGACAGCTGTGACCAATCAGTCCGTCCTGGTGTGGGTGGGTGGGCTGTGGCTGGAGGAGCTAGTCGTGGGGCTGCCCTGCCTCTTTCCTGGCCCCTGACACCCACATGAGCTGAGGGCCCTGCCTCCCGCCTCCCAGGATATGCAGCCTCACCTGGGCCCAGAGCAATGGAGTTGACCTACTATGGACTGAGCCTCTGAAACTGTGACCCCAAAATAGATATCCCTCCTCTGAGCTGCTCTCGCTAGGCATTTTGGTCCCAGCAATGAAACACCRCTGGGCTATGCTGGAAACAGAGCAGCTACCGGGGACGTGGCTCCATGGTGAACAGGGCTGCGGCAACAGGGACGCAGGAAGCTGCCTCTGCGCAAAGCCGCAGCTCAGGCCCCACAAATAAGCGGAAGCAGGAAGAAGCCTGCACCTCTGCCTTAGTTCCACACTGTCTCCTCCACTACTTTAACCGTGTGACCCACTCAGCGGTGCACAGGGCAAGTTAATCATTTAAAATAAGTRTCTGTCTAGAAACCAGCAGTTCAAGGTCTCTCAGCCCCCCACACCCCCACCCCCTTCAAGACCGAGACAGACTGCAGGGACACTGGCTGTCAGCACTTGTAGCCTTCAGTGTCTTGCATCTTCAGGAGAGAGGCAGGCACAGCACCCACCCTGAGGCCATCCACATACCTCAAGGGAACTGAACTGCCCCCTCCAGGGTCACAGGTCTGACAGACAGACGCCCCGAGCAGCAAGTGGTGACTGTCCTTGCAGTGGGAAGGCCCCCCTGGATCCCTCTGCAGAACCAGAACAGGGTGCTCCCCCAGAGCTCAGCTCCACCAGACCACGACTGGCGCAGCCCCCTGCCCAGCTCCTCCTCTGCRCAAACACAAGGTACCTGTTGGCCCTGAGGACGGACATGGGGTGGGATCTGGCTCTGCCTCCTCAGCATGACCTGCAGATCCAAAGTACCTCTCCTGCCTATCATGCTTCTCAGACTGGGGTTGGAAGGGTCCYCTCATTTCCTGTGTCGCGGGGCACCTGGAGGAGCATTGGTGGAGTTCTATGAGGGTCTGATGGAACCTGGCTGAAAGCCCATCTGGTCCTGGGCTTTTCTTTGGTTGGCTTCTGACTGTCATGAGCCACCTGTGGGCTGTGTGTGCRAGCTATGC